GAGTTTTCTTTGAATTACTCACTGGTTTCGTTCAGTTTAAGCCAAACAAGAGACTTGATGGAACAAGCGGTCATGTGGAAGTAAAATGTTGCATGTGCTTTGTTTCTGGTAGTACATTTTCCAGGAACAAACGGGATGGAAGCCAAGTGTTTAGGGTTGCCATCTCATCGACTCAAGCACGGGTCAGGAGTTTAACACACAGACACAGACACATTCCGTTCCCTCTCCAATTGGCTGCAGTTCCTTCTCTTTTTACGGAATAAACAAAAAGAAGAATATTATAACTGTTAATCGTATTGTATGACGTGATTAGCGTTCGAAGAAGTTACGCCTAAACAAGTTCCCAACCGATTCTATGATTGTGCTAATTTTTCTCCCATCTTATTTGTCGAAGATTGAAAATGCGGTGATTTGCATAATGTTGCTCCGCATCTCGCTTTATTCCTTGCAGTTCATTTGGACTGGAAAGAACCCCGTGGAGTTCAACAGATGACGCGGAGATTAGGCACAAATAAATGCACCGAGCTATTAGGTAGAGTTGGCGTGTAGAGGACCCCAGATTAATGCAATTGACTAGCTGGAGACACTAAAGGATATGACAGTGAACAGGCAGCACTGTTGTTCTAATTATCTTTGCTTATCGGTCAGGAATCCTTGATGAGGTAGTTATGCAAAGAACAATTGTTTACTCTGTGTTTTGACCATAGAGATTCACTTTCTTATCCTTCCTCAAACCAGGTCTAATCTAATAAATATTGCCGCCAACTTTGTATGTATTGCGAGTTTGTCAGTGAATGTCATGCATAAATGATTATACATCCACACCCAATCCCGAAAGTCTTTTGCAAAATTATGCACAACCTCTCACTTCATCTATTCATCCATACACTGGGAAGCACTGGACTCGAGTTTCACACCTATTATCATAGAGCGAACTGGGAAGAATGGTCCTGGATTCGAACTCCGGATCCACCGCAAGGAAGGGGTGTGCGTTACTATTGTGCCAACCAGCACACACCATGGCTGAACCGAATTGCCAATTCATGTTTGTTCGTATGTCATCTTCGGTGATAGTCAGTCAGTTCATTTGATCCAACAGTAACGAAGGGAGACACAGATGATAACCTGTTAACTCCAATCGAAAATCTCCTACCAAGTATCAGTTATCCGAAAACATTACTCCCAAGTAACTGGCAGTTAAATGCAAGTGTAAAACTATGTATTCAATAGAAGGAAGCAAAAAAAGGTTATTTTTAGTGTTGTGGATGGAGGGTTGCAGCTGAGAGTTGCTCTGGTTTTTGTTCTTTCATTAAACTGGAAAGATTCTGTTTGAATCTGTTCACAGAAGAGTAACAACCATCCGCAAACGAATCGTTCTTAATGGATCCATTGCGATGGTTGAGCAAAACAATGACAGCTACGGAGTAGGCGTACGAGATGCAGATGAACGGGAAAGAAAAACCTAAACAGTAATCGGTTGTGAATATTGTTCAGTGATTGCGATTCACAGATGCAAATAGTCAAAAATAGCAGGTCACAGCTCACAAATCATAATAGTTACTATACTCGGGCTGTAAGGATGGAACTCACTTGATTCCATTGAAGACAATAATTTTATACGACTAAAATGTGGTTCAGAGCAGCAGAAGCAGCAGGGTGCTGATTGCTTGTAAGCTATCTTTGTTGATGAAACGCCTTCAAGAAGCACTCTGTTTGAGTGATTTGCAGAGTACGAGCAAGGCAGGCGGTCTCCGAACAATGAGATACAGTATGGTCGACCTGTGGAGGCCAACAAAACGGACAATATTGCTGCTGTGTAAGGCATAGTGGAGGAGGATGCGTGGGTAATAGTTGCAGAACAGACGAAAGCCATCGGGATCTCATTGCAATCACTCCGCACCATCCTGCATCAGAATCTCGGCTGCAAAATGGTTTGCACAAGCTCTGTACCCCATCAGGTCAGTGAGGAAGTGAGAGCAGTTCGGGTGAATTGGTGCTGCACCTTGCTTACCAGGTTTAATGGTGGACGTTTCAATGCAGTTTGCGAGACCATTAGTGGTGATGAGACCTGGGTGTACAGTTTCGANGCACCATCCTGCATCAGAATCTCGGCTGCAAAATGGTTTGCACAAGCTCTGTACCCCATCAGGTCAGTGAGGAAGTGAGAGCAGTTCGGGTGAATTGGTGTTGCACCTTGCTTACCAGGTTTTATGGTGGACGTTTCAATGCAGTTTGCGAGACCATTAGACCATTAGTGATGATGAGACCTTGATGTACAGTTTCGATTCCGAAACCAAGCAACAATGGGCTGAGTGGACGCCAGTTGGTGGGGCGCTGCTTCAGAAATTCCGACGCGAGTCCAGTGTGTGATACAACAGACGATAGCTGTGTGACTACTGTTCCACTCGTACAACAGAGTGTAATCACCGGAGACTGGTGCGCAACCACTGTCTACCGAAAGTACTGGAAGTTGTAGCCAGACTCCGTTCCAGGACTCGAGCACGATGGACCTTGTTTCACCATGACAACACATATGCACACTGGTTCCATGTCGCTGTTGATTCTCTGGTTAGAGAACGCTTCCAAGAGGTTGATCGCTCAATCTGCAGTCCAAGCCTGGCTCCATGTGATTCCCAAATGTCAAGCACATGATGATGGATTCTAATACGAGCCAACAACAGTCGCAGTGGAGGTCTTCATTGATCTGGTCTAAGGATTACACCCGCCACGGCATGGTCGAACTGATTCATCAAATGGTATGAGCGCATAGAACTGTGGGCATGAAAGCTGGCGGAGGCCAATTCGACAAAGCGTAATGCTTGTTTGTTTGGGTACCAAATAAAGCATTTGTTCATCCGGAAACTTCTTTACTCAGCCCTTGCATTTGATGCGTTATAAATTGCAATGTTTCCAAGCGCACAGCAGCGATACTCTACTCACTGCATCGATTCGATCATCTTCCCTGTCACTGTCGTCATACATTTTGAATTAAAGTTGGCCAGCTGCTGAATGACATCCAGTTTGAAGAATTTCAGCTCATTGTACGTGAGATTGATTATGTAGGGACTTAGAATTTCTTAATATACTTGAAAATACAAGTAACTTTAATCTCGATTGGGAGCGGAATGCAATTATGTTCCGAGTAAAAGATGGTCTTACGTGATGCGTATCACTGGTTTCCTAGTTCATATTTGACATGTATACCTCCCGCCCGGCGCAATTAGATTGCACATTTGTTAACCGTAATATGTGACATTTCGAATGACATTGGTGTTTTGCGCAACTTTCGTTCTCACAGGGAAGAATGCCACTATTCAGCCAGGTGACACCGTCAATAACATTGACCAAGGATGAACCGTAAGCTAAACCGTTTTCCTGTGCATCCTTGATACAGTCAATTTTTCCCTCGTTTAACGGATATTGACAGGAACTGGTTGTGTTCATGAATAGAGCGCTGAAAGACAATTTTTTCCCCATTTGTAACTGGGATCCATGTTGGTCGGTTCCAAGTGAAATTTCAGGAGTCTTTAAAAATGTTTCCAATCTTTATTCTCTCGCGTGTGTACTTATATCGAGCAATTGAACTGTATTGTTGGAAGCTCACTTTCAAAAATAAACATGGTTAAATTTATTATTCTGTATTAATGCTGTATCTCGCCCGTATATGAGTTCAGACTATATGCGAACCGAATCGCGATAGAATGATCCTCATAAAAATAGAGAAGAGTTCAGGATTTGCTAGTAGGTGAGATACTCACAAGGTTCCCCGGAGTCAAGGTAGTTGAATGTTCTTTGAAAATTCACAACCAGAGCCTGTGACTCTAGTCAAAGTCTAACCTGTAAGGTTGCAGATTAATGTTTGAAAACCGCGATCCACTGTTGAGCATGGGGGAGGGGGGATCGGTATCTGATGCATCAGATCGTACGTTATTTGGACGGGATCCACCGTGCAAGGTGCCCATTACAACTCAATGTTCAATCAAACTGATGACTACTACTATTACACCAGATAGGCAGATGTTTGTGGCTCCTTAGGCACTAAGGGTCTGGTTTGGAATCAGAATTTTGACTCATTTCCCTAGGTTTACCGACTCGATTATATAGTCCCGAATGTTGGCTTTTCTTCATTTCACTTAGGTGTAAAAAGACTAGTTGTGATGCTACCTTACACTCTTCTTTATCCTATTTGTTTTCACGCATTAAATTAGCGATGACCGCCGATCCTTCAGTTTCTCCCTAAATTCTGACCTGTGTCTTACTTCTGCTTGGGGCTGTAGCATACATGTTCTACTTGATGCCGGTAAAATCTTCCTTTTATCCGTTTTGCTTTAAAATGAATACCTCTCGCATTCATTAGATTTTAACTCGAACATTCCCCGTTCTACCGATTCATGCAACCCATTGAGACTTTCCTTATCTACTTCCCTTTTATCACCACCGTATATTTATCTTCTTGCCTCTCGTGTCACGCACAAAATCGGCTTTCTCTTCCGTGCCAGTCGTTTCTTTACCCTCATTCAACTCCTCTAACTTCACAAAGCTCACATTCTCCCTACACTTGAATATTGCAGTCATAAGTGTGGTGGAGCTTCACCTATCTCTCTTTTTCTTGTTGATCGGGTTCAATGTGAGGTCATTCGTCCAATCAGTGACCCATCCCTGACATGTACCTTGCAAGCACTTGCTTACCGTCGGGCAATCACTTATTTGTCCTTATTCTATCGATAGTATTTTAGATTTTGCTCTAATGAACTTGCTGCTTGTACCCCTCACCGACTTGTTCTTCCTCTTAGTTCCCGGCACACAAGCATCTATCCATCCATTTCAAGTGTCCCATTTCTACCATTCAGTTAACTTTTTCCCAACAAAAGCACAACTGTGGAACACTCTCCCCCTTTCAGTCTTCCCTACAACTTTTAAACACAGAATAAACAAGCTGAGTCTAGCTTGAATGTTCCCTTTCTCACTCCTTCCAGCGTATATTCTTGGATTATGAGGTCATCAAAGATTCAGTGAGTGCAATACATTTCAAGGTTGTCACATAAAACAGAGAAAAGATAAATTGTGCAACGCAGTACTATTTAGTTCAAACTCATCAGTCATTAAAAAATGAACATAATCGGACATTTACCCAAATTAGGCTGATCGAAAACAGTGATTTGATAGTAATAGCACAAAGCGCAAACAAAGTCCAACAAATATGCCCCCTGATAGGTAAATCAAGTCAAATCAAGTCTTGTTGGGTAAATTTGACCTCTTATGCATCGTTCTTACTGACGAATCGTTTTATATAATGTCAGAGTAATAAGACTTAGAACAGATGTTGAATACAGAATGCACAGACAATTAAAGGGCCTCGTAGATTTTTTTACTCAACTTTTAATTTAATGATTTAATTCGATCGTATCATGAATTTAGCTGTATTCCGGGTAGAACAGTTTAGAGCAAAAGGCAAGGAAGCGTAGGATTACATTGTTGACCCGGCTAGGTTTTCTCAAAGGTGTAAATCTGTTTGCCAGATTGGGGATCGAACCCGGGACCTCACAAGCATACTACTATTCGTTTGACCACCGATCAGACTGTTTCACATTTCTGTTGCTCTGTACACACGAATAACTTTGTCTAAATTGATTGATGATTTGTGATGACAAAACAAGCGAATTTAGCTGTTTTTGCACGACTTCGCCTCAGATGATGATAGTCCGGTGGTGACGACACCGAATTAGCACCGCAAAGGACATGTGTTCGGATTTGACTATCGTCGTCCAACTTGCTCATTCCATCCACGCTTTATGGTAGCCCAACCTGAAAACTATATGTTTGTTTATTCAATAAAAGGAAATAAAAATGGAAAAACGTTGATGACAAGATGAATTTTAGAAGACCACGGTACAGTTTGCCTATCACAATAGCTATTGATCCAGGTGCAGCGAAGGTGCTTTACGAGTGCTGAGCCGGGATTTCATGCCATACATACATCCATTTTATTAGCTTGATGTGGACATGTACGTTTAACGGCACTGATAAATTAATACTTTACCTTGAAGATGAAATCTACCATAGATTGCATAGTCCCGCATTTCCTCGCTATATGATGTGACTAAAAATAACAGTTTTTGATAATGCACGTTAATCGGAATGTCTTGGATTCTGACGATGAACAATGCGCACTGCAAGCGTACAACTTTTATAATGGAAGCAAGTATAAATGATTTATTTGATTTTGATTAGTCACATGCTATGAAGTACACATTACCCGGTTGTATGGACAAGAGAGGGATAATATCTAATACCACCCCGTTTCATTTTCACACCCCCCCCCACACACACACTGCTCCCCTATACGTCATACAGATACGAACTGGATTTCCGCATGATCACCAATGCCAACTCTCCGAATGCACAGCTGTGTGTAAGCATCTACAATACGACAATCAGTAATGGACAACTGCCCATTTCCGGGGCAGCATATCAGCGCCTATCCTTCACGGGAGTGAATCGTCAAGAAAAACAGGTAAGACAAGCAAAAAATCAATTAAAAAATTGTTCGAATTCCAGTAAAACCACTTCTAATAGGTCGATAGTACTTTAGTAATTCTGGTAATGATTAGTGTACTCTGGTGATAACAGAACGTATATATCTACCTCTCAGCAATTATCGGAGAAAATCATTCAGTAGTAAATATACTGAAAGCTGTAGGCTACATTCACGTATTCATCACGTGACACGCCGGCAGTGCACTATATAATCAATCGATCGTCAGGGGGAATTTTGTAGATGAATATGGGATAAGGTTTTATTTTACCCAAAAAACGTACCGAACAAAAAAAAATATATTGGTCAATAATAGCTGATGAATGTATTTGGACCGGTTCGGGGCAACCTAATAAATAATACGGAATGCTCCAGTTGAGTTAACACGATCAGTGTCTACCAAGTGAGCGAGAATCGCACTTGTTACAGATCCGGAAGCACCCTGAATCAGCCAGCACGGATCAACGTAGAGTGCGTCACAAGTGCATCTGAACGATTGTTTGCCTGAAATTCTGTTTTAAATGTCAGTGAGCATGGGCATATTTTAAAAAAAAATTGGAATTGATTGATCTTCAAACCTTTGCGCAACGTGTTGTTAGTTCTATTATGCAATAAGTGGTCTGTTATTCAGTCGCTCTTGTACCGTCAACAGCGCATGCCGTACTTCCACCCCAATCAATAGGTCTGGAACGTTACACGATTGAATTGAATTATGAGTACAAAATCTTTTGCAACGAAAATGAAGCAACGCAATAATTTTTAATTTATAAAAAATACTGTTGGAGTCAGAGTAAATTCCTCTGGCTTTGAAGTCATTTTTAGTGAGTCTTCTATACCGCACAAATCTGTCGCATATAAACCGATATTTTCCCTTCTAAATCCTTCGTTCAGGAAATAGATAATACCGGTCTCATTGGTCAATCGTTTGACGGTGTCGCAACGGTCCAGCGAGTTCAAATCACCGAAGCAGTCCAGTATTTCAAATTGTGTCTCTTCAAATCCTGCACTCGTAAGTGATTGCCACAGCTAAACAACTATTCTGGCTACAAAAGGATAATTAATGATCAAGGACTTTGGAAACAACATGGCGTGGAAGATAAACTCGTTCATACTTGTTAGTAATCACGTTGAATCCGATCATTGAAGATACTTAACCAGCGAGGAGAGACAGATGACAAATAGCAATGCTCACCTTTCTGATCCGGTTCTGAACTTGTGTATGTATGTATGTATGTATGTATGTATGTGTGTATGTATGTATGTATGCATGTGTGTATGTATGTATTTATCTATGTATGAATGGATGGATGAATAGCTGGAGGGAGGGAGAGATGCGATTGCTTTACGTATCATATTGTCTTGTCCCTCTCACTCATGATCGCAAATAAAGAACATCTGTCTGACCTCCTTTGTGATCTGACTGGATCATTTTGCGCGATTCGCGTAACATGGAATCCTTCACCGTGGATGTCTGATCACGGGCTCATAATGTTTGTGATACTTTGTGACACTTTTGTGCCTGGGCGGGCATCACTTTCCCTGTTGAAGCTGGTTTATACAACTGAACGATTGATGAATGAACACGATCAACCGTGTGTTTGTTGGACCAGCCTGAGTAGGACGAAAAATTATAAATACCATACCGCTTAAGCAATATCAGAAAATTACCTCAGGAGAGTGATTTATCAACCAATGTACTGGGATCACTATATTCATGAAAAATCAAGCATTACGTTACAGATCCTTTGTTCTACGATAGTCAAAGTGATGAAGGACGTGGGCAGCTACATTGAGAGGAATTTGAGCAACAGACAAGAGAGTCGTCGAGTTTAGAAGCGCACTTTGGAAAACATTCAATAATACTGATGTGGAACAATCAGTCGGTACTTGAAAAAGCTGTTCAAGGGGGCTAGATATTACTCAGGCAGTTCTCCACTAACTAAAAAATCTCGGAACTGGATCAGGTGCATATTTTCAAACCGAGGAAAGATAATGAATCGGGGTTATTGGTGTCTTTTTAAATTGCGGGGAAGTTAGCACCTTCAAAACCGCTATAGAGGAGACAGAGTAGCATGCATCAGAGAATGTAAGCGAAACAGGTATTGAGTTCGGTTGAAAAACATTCACAAATTGAAATTTTCACTCATCAACATCCAGGAGTGAGTCACGTAACCGTTTCAATGCAAATTACGTATCACCGTAGTATTGGACGTTTTATAGAACAGTTTGAATAAACTTCCCGTTTTGGCGTTATATCTCATTTGTACTAGAATATGACAGGAGTTTTATAGCACTGTGTCTGTCTGTTATTTACTTTCTCACGACAGACCGGTTTAAGAAACAAGGAGGTGAAATTATCGGTAGTCAATGTAAATCTATCAACTTGACTGATGATCGAATCCGGGACCTCACGGTAGAACAAAAGCTTGGATCCCACTCGGCAAGCAGGCAGCTGATCAGACCGCTTCTCATTTTAAGTATACACGATGGAGCACAATTCACGTTTACGAGCTTTTTGTGGGCATTGCTTGTTAGCTTTTCAGCTCACGCCTCACTTGCACGACGAATTCATCATATAAGTAAATCCAATTCTCCATTCCTCTCGTACAACAAATGGATATCCGAGGTGAATGTGACCGGAGAAAATAATGCGGGTGGTGGTGACCAAGTGGTTAGGTCACCAATTTGTGATCTGGAAGTCTTGGATTCGAACCGCTACACAGCGACTCATCTTCCCCATTGCTGTATTATCCCAGGCAGCCTTTCTATGACCGCAGCTTCCTTCCTGAATGTTGACAGTACGTTTGTGTATTCAATAAATAAAAATTAGGTGAAAATACACGTTCTGTATCTAGGACACAATGTGACCGGCGCAGAAACATTTTCTATTCCGAATTTCCCGGTTAATGCATGGCTTAATAATTTATTCTCCCGCGGTAATTCTGTCAATACTTAAGGAATATAAGATTCATAATTCATCGTCCTACGCGGGTCCGACAAATATACTGACCGTCAGATGGTTCAGCCGCAACAGGGGACTTGATGTGTGTGTTCCTATTAACTCCGAGTGAAAACCCACCCCTTGTTCACAGCTTCCAGTCTTTAACACACCCAGTGAACCTTGATAGTGCACACCTAACAGGAAGACCATCATCTCACGGTCAGAAAGTAGATGTAAACGAGTGTCACGAAACATTTGCCAACCAGATTGCAGAGAGGGTCAGATGAAATATAATTGTTGTTGGTCATTGGGGTGTGGGAAACTACGAGATGAAACGACGATGCGTGAAGGTGGATTCAATTGATCAAGGGAAGACTTCTAACTGGTTGAAGAGGACTAACTATTTGGGCCTGGGGAGGTTAAGTGCTTGCACAAATTTCGTCTGAGTGCACGGGAGCTCACGAGCCTACGGCGTCGACCGTGGTTAGAATACGGTGCTTTAATGCAACTAATTGTTCATATCCGACGTTTTTAGCATGCATGTTTAAACTGACGTATATTGGATTGAATAGGAATAACTCACACTAGCTTTTTAAATACACTGTGTACTGTGAGACGAATAGAAGTTTATCTATAAAACCGTCATTTTTGACAAGTAGACGTTCCATTAGTACATATCCAAAATTTTATGGATGTTAGTTTACTGTTAAGTAGTTTGAAAGCCTTTTGGCTTCATGCTTCATCGAACCTCTTGCCGCGTACGACTCCGCGGGTGGTCTTGCGAACTATGGTCCAATCCAATTATCTGCTGCAAGCTTATATGATTTTTTATTACACCTCAGTGTGATGGAAAACGGAGCGAACTCCATAGTCACGAAGACCTGCTGTTCAGCGATGGAAACCGTTAACCTAGGCCCCGAGACTTGGAGTGGTGAACCACATAAGGTCCCGCTGGGTTAGGAGTGGTACAGAACCCGGTGACCACAATGCTGTATACCACCAAAGACGGGTGACGATGGCGGGGCTCGAACCTCGGACCATAGGGTTTAAAGCACCCCGGTGACAACCACCGCGCCACCAACATGCTAGAACGTGTAAGCGACCACGGCCACGCCTTATCTCATTAAACCGAAGTCAGGCGTATTGAAAGGACGCCCAGTAGCTGCAGCGTTCAATACAATTGCACTATCAACTGAGTCCCACATGCAATCATGAAAGGCTATCAATATATCAGGAGTTTCATAAATTGTCTGATCACAGATCTTTATTCACTGATGACGTTCGGGTGACCGCCGTGCAAAAGTCGATGCGCTTTGGAGATCAGCTTAGAGATCAAGCCAAAACATTTGCCACTATCCCTGGTTGAGTTGAAAGTTCACTGCTCCTTCAAACAGTTATTTGTGCCATTCACTCTAACCTAGGAACAAGACATACGAATAACCGCAAGCATTCACACCGCCAAAACGATGCTTACACGACTCGGATCAAAACTGTGGTGTCGGAAAGGATCGGTCCTAAGACAAAGCCTTGGGAATTGTCCCAGTCCTACCAAATGGCTATTAAAAACTGATCAGTGAAAACTGAGGATGACTAGAGGTATTGGATCACTGGTACCTTAGATGAATTTCAACAGTGGACCATATTGATGGAATATCTAGTGAAACTGTGTTACCGACTATCGATGCACATATAACGTCGTTGACTAGAGCGGTTGGGGTGCCCTTTTAACGATATTGTCTTCGCTTTGTCGCCGTACACAAGCTAGTGACCAATCTAAACATTGTATTTGAAGAGACGAACCAACTTAGTCTGGAGATGAGGAATGTCAATGTGATCGGTGAAAAAAGAAAGGAGATCAACATTTGAAAGGATCTGGACACCGACTATCATTTGGCGACCGCAGCTACCATAACCGAGATTCATAAAGTGAAGTGAAAGTGGATACATAAGGCACTCATTCATGCACTGAAAACACAGACTGGGTGAACTCAAATATTCTTGCAGTTCCTGCAAAATACTATGCAATAACATTTACGTTTTCATGGAAAACCAGTGATCTGGTGAACCTTGGTCACAAAAGACATGAGACTTACGAAATTATAATAGTCCATCCGTTAGTTTACTGGAGCGATTTGTAAGGCAAACACAAAGCAGGCACAGATTGGTCAATACTCAATGAGTCGAAACGGTCAGTGACCGATCTAGTGCAAACTGGTGAGATTGGACTGGAATAAGTTGCACGGTTTATCGACTCGAGATCTCAGTACAACCAGCCTGGAATCAAGGTATAAGTCAAGGGGAAGTAAAAATGGAAATTGAAATTTCTTCATCAACAGAACAATGAAAAACGAACACCCACTGACCAATGCGTGAAGCTTATGATGAAATTATTCTGGATCCAATAAAATCGATTTATGCTAAACACATTAAAAATGGGATGGGGGTGAATTGAGCTCTCCTATGGTTAATAGTCACACCGGCAGGACAAGTTGTATCATTGCAAGGGTTCCGTCACTGTGGATAACCATGTGACATCATCATTATCCATATGCTTAAGGGACTCTCTTTCTTCTTCGGAGCCGTTGAATGATATAAATTGATTTCTATCATAGATACAGCTTTCGTCTTACCAGGTGAATGCCGGTTGCTTTAGACGTTGTCATCATTCAAATCTCGATGATTCTGCTCAGGTCAGGCGAAGAGTTTTATTGACGAATAACATCTCATGTTTATCGATCGATTGTGTTACCTCAAACAGTGGCAAACAAGATGGAACAGCATCAAACACTCACTTGCTACAAGCTTGATTCGATAGGAGAAGTGAATAGGTTAGTGCAGTATCTAGCCACACTATATTGGGTAAATATCGCATGAAATTTATGCTGTTTGTGAATTTAACCACACTATTATCTGTTGCAATGAAAATTACATGGAGAAAAACTGTAGATGTCCATTTGAGAACACGCGGGGTTCCCTAACACCAAGCTTCTCTAAACTCTCGTGCGTAGGATGAATCCGGTAGTTGCTAACACCGTCTTACGACTACCGCAATACATTGTTCTCTATGAGGATATTTGAACTACGAAACAATTTATCACACGAAGTATTGTACAGGTTCCCGTACCATATGATGATGGCGGTAGATTAGGTCCGAATGTTCTCCTCCATGTCACTGTCACATCGGGATCAGGACAAATGATCACAACGAAGAGATCACTTAATGTATTCACAAACACTATTTTCCATTGCAGCCAAAATGTCATTCCCAGATGCGACCGAGAAACAAATAGAAACTTTCCTAGACGAACAGCTACACACGACCGAGTTTTCCGTCCAAATTGAACAGCGAACTGACAGCAAACTGAAGATCTTGATCACTTTTCCCGTGGTATTTGGTGAGTCCGTATTGTTGTTTTTTTCTATTGATTTCCATCGCTTTGTTCTCATTCAAATTCTGTTTGGGATCTGTTTGCTTAGGTTAATTCACAATATGTGCCCTCATTTTCTCATCGTTATCCGGGAAATTTGCCCCATAGGCTATGCCGACCTTCAAACCGCCGTAAATTACGCTAGCGGCGTGCACGGGCATTCCAAAATTATGCTTACCGCCCCACCCCGCCCTGCAAGGCACGCTGCTCAGCTTTGTCTGGAAAACAAAATCACGTACAATTGTGAACGGGGCAATGTGTTCTTCTGAGATCGCATGGATTTCACTTTGTCCGGCACTAATATTCAGTGCAAATTTAGCAAAACTTGTTTTATAACTTTCTAAGAGGAAAGACGTCTGTCATATGCGTACATCGATGATAAATTAAGTGAAATGGTGCATTTTTGTCAGTTCACTCGAACGATAACATGGATCAGTCAGAAAACAAGCTCACGGAGAACATGATACTTAGTATCAGTCGATAATCGGCTAGAACCTTTACTCTTTACCGGCAATTTTATTCTAAGAATACTGTGACCTTATGGACGATCGAAACTCCGAAGCAACTTCCCTCTACTAATCTGTCCTCATATAAATTCTTCCATTTTATCAACCTTAGGTTCACAACAACCAATCGAAGTCAGAACAATCCCGCCTGTTCCTTCGTCTGTTTCTGTAACCATAGTCAGAGATGGTGCTGCTCCACTGAACGGCAAAATCCTTCCAAGTTACATGGGCTACCCATCCCTGACGGATTACGCGGTGGAAGGAATGACCTTTGATGTACGTATTGTATAAATATATTTTTTATCAATATGACAAAAATCTGAAATGTTGTCAGACTTGAAGATCAAAATATTGTCGGTATCATCAGTTTACCGATTGAGATCAAATAAAGTATTATTTCTGATTTTTGCAGGCTTTTTTATCATCCCAAATGATGAATATCCATATAGTTTTCTTCAAATTTACCCAGGTCACCAACTGTTGAAGAGTTATTGATCGGAGAGGGATGGCAATTTTCTTCAATGGATAATTAGTTTGGTTTGATATTTTTACTTTCTTTTTGTTCATAAAATGGTAGAAATATACAATACACTTTCAGCAGGGGGTTTGTGGTCAAACAAAGGTATTTTTCTGCGGAAATACAGATATTGGTGGCCGTGATGAGGTTTGAACTGAGCACATCCAGATAATTCATTTAAAGACCTTATCGCTCGACCGCCGCTTAACGGTAAGCAACTTTTGTAATAAATCAAAACCTTCCTAGAGAGAGAGAGAGAGAAAGGGAGAGAGAGAGAGAATTCTAATAACCTGTGCAAGTTTAATTCCGATTTGATCCCGGTCCGCATTCACTCTGTAGTTGTCGATCGCTTAGTTTGTGGTTCAGGTTCCTGCTTCCAACTCCCAAAACGATTCGAAATTTCAGTCTCAACAAGAGTTAAAACAAAATAGCACGCGCTGCTTCTGCTGCTGCTGCTGCTGCTGCTGCTGATGATGATGATGATGATGATGATGAATGCCAAGAAAAACAGAGCAGGTTGTTGGAACTCTTTTGTTCAGTGTTCGCACTATTCCGTCGCATACAGATAGATCTTTTGATCGAACACTATTGTTTCAACACCACGTTTTGAGATTATATATTTTTGCAACAATTTAGTTAATACAATTTCACCCGAGTCCAACAATGTTCTTAATGTATCCCTCTAGCCCGGGGATATTTTACCGTACGTTATTCTGCAGTTTTTTGTCACATTCATTTTATCTCAAACTGGAAAACTGGTGTTTGAAATTGAATTTTTGTGTGCAATAAGTTACATTAAGCATAACCCAGGGCCTGACCGCAAGACAACAAACCGTTTTTGAGTTCAGTTGCTCTATGAATTTCAAATTATTCGGTCCCTTTTACCTGAAGGTGCGAATGGAAAAGGGATAGACATTTTGAGATGACAGGTTTTGTTCACTATTATCGATCACCAGCAGGAAATAAGTCGGTTTATGTAGAGTGTATACAAGTACTGACGATCTTTGACCAATGTTTGGATAGGCATAGAACACGTAACAACTGTTTCTTTGCGCAAAGAATGCAGTATTCTAGCCCGAACAACCGAGGTTTGCTAAACGGCAACAGCTTCGCATTCAGGTCACCCAGCAACAATCTCACTAAAAGACTCTGTTCGGCATTATGGCCTACGGAAAGGTGAACGTGTTACAGTTACCGATGCCGGAATTTCATTCCATTCTTGCCCCGTACATTTTGACGAAATCAACGCGTGAGGAAGCCACTCTGATACATGAGTGATCATTTTAAGTCAACTTTTGATCAGTTTGTCTCATTATCGCCTTGTCGAAATTTCAACAATTAGAGTGTCACAACGTAGAGGACTATTTTAGATTCCAATCAATTTAGACACTTCCGAAGATTCGCTCACTGCGATATCCTCAATTACCAAGAGAATGCGAATTATTGTGAATACGAATATAATATCGTCAGGTTCACAAAGAAGAATTAAAGTAGATTACTAATTATTCACCATTCGTAAGGCCCCTGATATTGTGTCACCGTTTTCTTTGAAGTTTACTAAAAACTTCAAAATGATCAACTGACTGAAGGGTTGCGCTTCCTCCTTTTACATCCTATCATGAGTAAAGCTAACTTTACAAGTTCCCTAGACAATGTTTCTCATCCAATGGTATTTGTTAGCCTCTGGAGAAAAACAAGGCACCGACATAGGATCCAATTCATCCTTTCTAGGTGAATAACTTGGTCTCATTGTGCCGTCCCATATAATGCTCAGTATATTCCACGCTATAAAACTCGCAAAGATTGAATGAAGTATCAACGTCTTGCGACATTTGATTTCCTTAGTTCCGAAATTGACTGAGTCGTAGCTGCAAGCATACTCGGTCACTCTTCCTGGAGTCATAAATGTGCCAACTAAGCATGCACACACACACGCACAATGACACAGACATACGGGCAAGCACTCACGAAGCAGAGTGAACCGTAGTAAAACATTTACAACCCGTTAGCATTGATTCTGGTGAACAACTGAATAAGTGCTTGTTTGTAACACTGAACTAGTGCTAATCTTAAGAGATGGGCTGGAGGAGTGAATCGTTGGATTGGCGCATGTCATCTGAGCTGGGCTGATTCCAGAAACCGTTCTCGGAGAAAGGTTATGTTGAATAATTCTAAACACTGCACTTGTGACCAGGTGAAATGTATACTTAACACGATCCCCCCCCCGTGATGAGAATTGGTCATTGAAGCATTCATTTTTCTCATTTTCTTTAAAAAAAAAATACAGATTCGATCTGCCTACGTGCTGCTTCGACAAACCGTTTGCCCTGATCGGCTTGTATACCTAGACTCGAAAAAGTATACGTTCGTTCAGGATTTCGAGACCAGCGACAGTGGATCACGCACCTCGGAAGTTCCAGCGTTTTGTGGATTGTACAGTCGACGTTTGCCCTACTGGTACACTCTCCCAAGAGTGGTGGATTTGACACGCTATCCGTTTGTGAGTACTTTTCCTGGGTGAATCAAAACAATACCCCCCCCGCCCTCCCCTCTCACCCCGTTCCGATTGAGTCACGTGAAAGTTTATGTAAATTTATCAACAATTATGTGCGAATTTGAAAACTACTTCTCCCATCGATGATATGGGAGATCGAACAGTGAGTGTGTTTTAGAGGACTGATGACAAATAGAACGTCGGTCGGTGTATGTAACTTTAAAATGAGTGCATTTCCTAACCATACCTTTGGTTGTCATATTCTCTTGATTTCGGTATAGAGCGACACATTAAGAAATCTCGGTATTATTGAATACGATTCCGGAAGGATTTGGGTCACGACATGCCACTTGAGAGGTGATGACTGAGTGGTTAAGTCACCAATTTGTGACCCACAAGTCTCGGATTCGAACTACTCCATCACCGCTCCAGTTCTCCATTTCTGTGTTTCCGCAGACAGTGGACAGTATGGCCGCAGCTTCCCTCCTGAATGTTGATTGTGCATTTGTATATTCAATAAATAAAAGAGGAAGTAAAAAGACGTTCACATTTACGAAAGAAGACCGGATCTAGACGTTTATATTTCACGTACATCTAATGCAAGACTGTGTGCCAAACAAATCATGCTACAATAATCTTTATGAAAAAGAACAACGTTCCATGATTTGCACATGGGCTGAATACTGCTAGGTTGCCCATGCCAAAGCAGGTAAATTTTCTTGAGGAAATCACAGTCGGTGCCTTCTGCTAGTTAAAGCCTGACCCGTAGGTTAGCAGGCCGGTGTGTAAAAGCCGTAATCTATTAGGGGCTGGTGTCCAGTTCATCGGTTCATGCGTCTTTTGGACGGAGTCAAACGTCCAAGATGCTCAGTTACACCTCGATACACAATCGAACCGGTGACCACTGCCAAAACCAGGAAGTTGTGTGGTTCGTACGCCTCCTCCTTGGTTGAATTAGAATCAGGATTTTTGGCCAATTTCCCTAGGTGAAAGACCAATGGTTAACCAGCTCGGTTATACCCCTGGAGGTTGACTTCTCGTCCTCTCACTTTGGTTGGAAACGCCTCCGCTACGACAAGGCAGTGAGTAGGGCTTCCTCAGCAGGGACTATTTGAGATACTTGGTCGTACGGGGGCATTTCGCGAGACGCAAGGGAAGCTTGACCAGCAGCAACCCGAGACACCCACCCCGGACCATACTGAGGTTTTCGGAGGCAAGGACCTAGAAGACCAAATTCTCGATCGAACGAGAGCGTACTTAGATAAAATAATGCTGAATACTTGTGATCTTCGTTATTCAATTTATCACATAACAGAGAAGAGAAATCTTTTGAGAAGCTATTAATACATTTAGCCTCCTCAGTTGGTCAAATGTAGCGGATTTAATCCAGGGTAAAACAAAACTGATATCAATACAATCAGTCCCACAGCAGTATGTTCGATTGCGTCCGAGAAGCTCGTGCAGACATAATGAAATGAAGTAATCGAACTATCAGAACTTGAGATTCTCATCACAGGATTACAGAAATAAAGGGTCAGCTTTGGCTCAGCTTTTAAACCGCATCCTTGCAATCGATCAAAACCCAGGTTTCTTTTATTGTCAGTCAATTAATTATTGATGCGTCCAATCGATAAATCTTCCTGACAAATTTAACTAAAATAAGCTCTTTATACGAAAGACGCTACTGTTATCCATCAACGTGTGCAACGAGTTTAGGTCAGTGCCAGGATAATCAACTAATTAACGATGGTTGTTACTTTCGGCTCAGAGATGATATACCGCAGAGTATATTTTGGATAACATCGACTGAATGATTTTATTTAAAAATCACGGCACCCTTCTCAATTTTGCTCAGTTCATCAGCAGTTCATCTGGTGTGTTACACTTTTTTGATTATGCTCTGTTATGTCCATTTTAAACTTCTTCGTACCCAAAGGTAAGAGGGATGTAAATTCAATGAATGAATAAATCAACTGGAACGTGCTCCTTGAATGGTGTGAGATGTTGTGCTCACTGTAATGTACTGTACGGTATTGTGAAGCCCCTCTTTTTTCATACTAAACACAACGATTGAACCTAAATAACCAAACGTAAACGGGATATGTAAGTCAACGGCAGTGATTGCCCATCAGCAAATTACGAACGAATTCTAGACCGACTCACAGGTCGTGTGTCACTTAGCTTTGAAGTGGTGCGAATGATCTTACGAATCACACGCCTAGATGGGTTCTAAACCGCTCCTCAGTCCATCGTGGCTTTGATCAATCACTCGCAGTNCTCGCAGTTTGCTTTTGGATCTGTTTACACCGTCATTGTCTGATATCGTTTCTATTATCATTTTTCCCCCGAGGATATCATGCTTCAATTCGTATGGAATCTCCTCTCTCTATGGTTATCCATTATCATGTCTGTTGAAATTTATTACATGCTGCTAGTGTTTCAGACTGTGAATAGAAATATAAGTTTAATGCACTCGTTTAGCAACTGAAAAATTAACTCAATCATTTAAAAATCTTTGGTTCAATTCATTAGCATAGGACGATGACAGATTTTGTAAAACGGAAAATTGTAGCTTTTCTTCTTTTTAGCGAGCCGATGCACAAAATTTCGGCTATTCGTATTGGGAGTAGTATGTTTGGCTTGTACGAAATAACGTGATTGTCTGTTTCTCCGAAGGGGGTCAAAAATGATTGAGAACTCTTGTAGCAAATTAATGTGTTCCGAATGATAACTACGGGGAAATGGGGATCCACCGTGAGACTGTTCCACTGACTATCCTGTATGTGGTTTCGCGGATTCGGAAAACATGTTGCTAAGACAACATTTTCTGGTATGTAGACAAATCTACGGATACCGATAACTTTGTTCGTAATAAACAATTTTCCTCTTCCCTGCACCATCATGTTGATATACAACATTAGAATGGAAGACGAGAGTTTTGGTTTAGCACAGAGTCAAGGAAGACCTGCAAGCTGTTCTCTTCCGCTCATCTATGACTTGATCCTTGCAATAAAGCAATTTTTGACAGCAACTGTTTTACACAACATTGGACGTCCTGATTTTCTCCTCTCAATGCAAACTGTGCACCAACACAAACAAACACACTTGTGATGTACGGTTTGTGTCCCCCCGGTCGGCGAGACGCATGTTACCCGAATTATTGTTTGTTTGTTTCAATTGATCCCTTGCAAACTGTAAATCATGTAACTTGGTTTCATCTGTTCTCATCCCGCTTCAGTTGTGCTTTGCTGTGTTGGGCAAGGTTTCACAAACAATCCAATTC